ATAAAACAATAAAAAAATTGAAAGAAAAAAGGTAAAGTGGAGGAGATCACATGAGATTTTTCACGTTTTTTTTTTTGTGAAATAAAACTGGCTAACTTTGGATCAAATATACATCGATAAAGATGGATTTTTGATCGATTAATCCCTACAATTATACTATATTTTACAAATATCTTTTTGTAGTATTTATTTATTTTTTAGAGAAAAGTTCACCAATGCCCTTGTAGTTTGTTTTAGAATCATCTATGCCCATGTATTTTTTTTTTATCACATATACCCCTGTGGTTTGTAAAAAGTAAAAAACCATAGAGACATATGTGATAAAAAAACATAACCCTTTTGTAAATCACAAGGGCATAAGTGATTCTGGAGTAAACCACAAGGGCATTGATTAACCTTCCTATTTTTTAATTATCATTATCCATTATTTCCTTAAAACTTTGGTTGATTCATCAAAGCTTTATTTTTGAAGTGGAAGCAAAAATTGGATCATGATTATGATCTTAAAAAAAAATCGAAGGCGGCACCCCCGAACCCCCGTCCTAAATGTGCAGACATACAAGAATTTTTTTGGGTCCGCCACTGTTTCAGGCGAATATAATTGTACAATCAAAGTATGATCCTTAGACATAATATCGAGAACAACCTCAAGTTTAAGGGTGATTTACACTATCTTACGATGAGAGACTGTATCAGACGATACATGTTGTAAGGATTCCTTGTGGAGTTTATATATATATATGGATATGTTTAGTGAAATTTATTCCACTAACGAATCCATCCACAACATCAGCTAAGGCATCTCCATGATCTCCTGTAAGTAGCCTGATGTCGTGCAAGTCTAGTTGAGTCAACCAATTAATTTTCTTGGTAACTATAGACTAAGAACATATATATTTAGCGAATAATCAAATAGCGTACTCAAATCCTCGTGATCATTATCTCATCATAGATCCTCAAGGTCTACCTAAATTATCCTGAGGGCATTTATCCATACTAAGACCATAATAATTAGAGACAATTTTATAACAAATAAAGAAATACTCTAATATTATTGATAAAATATATTGAAGTATATAGTATTATCTGACTCTCAAATTGTCTCTACGAGACCTATCATAATACCAATGCCTACAAATTCAAGGGTGGGGAATTTCGGATGATAGATAAATCTCAACCACAATATTAATAAATATTTTTGATTTGTGAATCATTCACAAATTTATTTTCTTGTGAAACAAAATTTTTCATATATATTTTGCATGAATTATATTTTGTCACGAATTTCACATATGAGCTAAATAAGTTTAAATGAATTGAAAACCGCGTTCTCTATCATATCACACACCCAATCAAATTCTATCTTTGTTAACAAATTCAAATGCATTGTATACATTAGTTGAAACAACTTTAAATAATAACTAGTATTAATATATTTGCTTACAAAAAAAAAAACTAGTATTAATATTTTTTTTTAATGTATATAGTGTTGCAAATTTAATTGTGTATAACCTTTCATATTTTCATAATGACAAGAAATAGTTATATATATATATATATATATATATATATATATATATATATATATATATATATATATATATATGAGGTAGGATCCTTTGACACCAGTATCAAATTTGAATTTTGACACCTCATCTGATAGCCGTTAGATCAAAAAAGATCAATGATGTCACATGCTTACAAATCAGAGCCGTTGATCTTTTTTGACCTAACGGCTCTCAGATGAGGTGTCAAATGTTAAATTTGATACTGGTGTCAAAGGATCCTATCAAGGATATATATATATATGAGATAGGATCCTTTGACACCGGTGTCAAATTTGAAGTTTGACACCTCATGTGAGAGCCGTCACGTCAAAAAAGATCAATGGTATCACATGCTTACAAATCAGAGTTGTTGATCTTTTTTGATCTAACGGCTCTCAAATAAGGTGTCAAACTTCAAATTTGACACCGATGTCAAAAGATCATACCTCTCTCTCTATATATATATGGGGAATGATATACTTACAACCAAAAAAGTTTACCACCTTTACAACCAACCTAATCACCGTTGATTCTCGTCAATCTAACGGTTATCATTTATTAGAAATTATTGGATCGCATTTATTAATTCCCAATAAATGATAACTGTTAGGTTGACGAAAATCAATAGTGATTAGATTGATTGTGAAGGTGGTAAACATTTTTTTTTTTTTTGATAACAATTAATTCCCAATAAATGATAAGTGTTAGGTTGACGAAAATCAATAGTGATTAGATTGATTGTTGCCCCTATATATATATATATATATATATATATATATATATATATATATATATTCAATAGAGAAAAAATTTTATGTAGCAGCAACCGAAGGGTACATAGTGAAAATATTAAAGCTGCAAAAAATTTCTCTATCCTCAAATGTTGTCTGCTGACGTGTAGAGAAAGAAAAAAATGATTTTCATATTTTCACTATGTACCCCGGGGCACATAGTGAAAATCGGTTGCTGCAGAAAATTTCTTCTCCGTTAGAAGGAGAAAATTTGAACCACACACACACACACATATATAGGAAAAATATTTTTCAAGCAGCTTGAGATAAGTTTATCTCTTGCTACTCCAAAACTACGTCGTTTTATTTATTTATTTTCATATATTAATTGATTCACCTTTGCATGGTTATGATTCCCTTTTTCTCTCTCTTCCTTTATCACTATTGATTCATCTTTGTACGATTACGATTTACTAGCCGGAGATAAAATTATCTCAAGCAGCTTGAGAAACGATAAGCCATATATATATATATATATATATATATATATAGTGATAGAAAAGTTGTAGAATTTCGTAGTTCATAATCACACTCATGTTTGTTAGTTCCAATTTAAAAAAAAAAATCTATTAAATTAAAGGCTAGGTTTTATTAGTTCTTGAAGAAATACTCTTCTCTTTTCCTTTGCATATGATTTTTTTATTTCCGCCCTAAGATATTTGCAAGTAGGCAACAAAGTATTTTGTATATGTTATGGGATTGGTTTAAGTAGTACATGCTTGATTCTATTTAAGTAATATTTTGGGTTTAAGTTCTTGTAAATATAAAATATGTTTTTTTGCGAGAGCTAGCCTTACCATGATGTAGATTTTTTTAATTTGAACAGAATTACCTCTTATAGAAAATACTTGTAATTTATCAAAATAAAAAAATTGTACATGTTCTGTTACGCAACTATCCTTGTTTAAGAGTGAATTGGTTGCTATCGAATCCAATATCTTGTAACATCAATCATTAAGACACAACAATTTAATTATAATGCTCTTATTATTATATTTATTATATACCAAATGTAAATTTTATTGTATTATTATACAATAACTGAAATTATTTTTGTATTCGGCAATCGTAATATATCTTAAAAAATTAAAGGAACAAAAATTCTAATATGATAAGATTTTTTTAATCTTTTAATTCATTTATTTTGATCTATGATCTATAAGTTTTTTTATTAAAAAAACTTAATACGTAAATTTATTATAACATATAAATTTAGTTTATAAAAATATATATTAAATGCAAGCTTAAACAAAATTATTAAATTGTAAATTTAAATTCTAAAAATAATTATTGATCGCGAATTATCATATATAATTCATCCTTTTATTTCTCAAGCTCCCATCGATATGGGATATAGAGCTAACCCTATTCATTCATTTTATTTTATTTTTTTAAATGAGTTTAATGTTCGCGATTACATATTACAATAATAGAATATAACTCGGCAGGATAGGCTAGCAACACTCATTTTATAACTTATAATTATATAATAAGAGGGAAGGTGGAGATTGGGCATATAAGATTCTATCATGTGACCTAATCGTATAAGTGTTGCGGATGCCTAGTAGCACTCGATTTTGTTTAACAAAAATTATTAAAACTGGTACTACGGGGTCTCGCAGCACTCAGTTAAAAAATTGAAATAAAAATTCAACTGGTAACCTCGCAAAACTTAATTTTTTTTTTAGAAAAATGAAAAAAGTAAATATGCTAAGGAATATTGACCGCTCTTAAAGGGTGTTTGGTAGAGGAAATTTTTTTTTTTTTTTCCGGGAATCTCAATTTTCAGATTATGAATTTTATATTCAGTTTACGATAATATCCGAAAATTAAAAATTTAAAAAAATTTAATTTTTCGAGAATTCCCAATAATCCCTCGGGCCTAATTGAAAATACGTATATCATAACAACATTATTTTTCTGTAACTGTGATAGAGAAGTAATACATGTCCATAGACATTTCTTTTGAAAAATAGGACCTATCAATGCAAGCAAAAAAATAAAATAAATTATTTGCTTATGTATTTCCTAAAATACTGTGTGCAGTAGAAAATTCTTTCTTCATTAAAAATTGAAATAAATTTTCTGATATTGTAAACCCATACCTATAAATATTCCTAAAAAACACCGGAAAGGTCAATGAACCACCTGTATTTGAGTTCCGTAAGTAATCTATTTTTTTAATTTTAATTTTAAGAAAATTATTTCTGTTTTTACCTTAGAATTTTTTTTACCACACACAATATTTTTCCGAAAATACATAGAGAAATGACTTTTTTTTTTTGCTTGCATGGGTGGGTTTCTTTTTTTTAAAAACAAAATAAAAAAATCTATGTGACAGGCATTAATTCTCTGCTACACTTGGAGAAAAGTAACATGCTTTAATTTTTATATCTGAAAACGGTCCAATACAAAATTTTTGTAATAAGTAGCACCGCTGTTTCATAAAATAAAATAAAATCTATCACCAATCACATAGTTGAACCATAAATGAACCAGGTTGCAGGCGAAACTAAAATTTATAATGGATTAATAAATGTACTTATAACTAAATTAATAATTTAATACAGACACAAACACAAACATATAATTTTTTTATCAAAATAATTAAGCATTATTATACATTTTCTTTTATGAGAATATTGAGATGAGTTAGTTTCATTAAACGACCACCATCGACCCTCGTTTGGAATTTCTGAGGTTGTTGCCGGACACGTCTTTTTTGTTGGTTCTCTCCCGATCGCAGTTACGATTGTAATCACACAGTGCCTTTCTGTGAAACCCTAATCGATTAACCGAACCCAATCATATCCCAATTCTTAAACGCTCAATTCAGCAATACAAGGTTCGATCTCTTCTATATTTCTATCTATCTTATCATCATTCATCGTGTTTTTGGGTTATTGGCAATGATTGAGAATTTGGGTGCTCGTTTTCATCACCTTTTCTGACCATTGTTAATGTTCACATTGGATCGAATGTTCTTTAATCTCTCGAAATTGAACTTTTCAATCGGAAGAAGAAATCAGCATTACGGAATAATGGTATGGTTAATCAAAAAAGTTTAAGCTGAAAAAATAAACGGGTATATATATATTTTTTAATTCGGGTATTATTTTTTTGCAGATGAAATGATTAACACTCTCTTTTTTTTATTATTATTTTTAAGTTAGAATTAGCTGTTTGTCTTGATATTAGTGCTTGTTTTTATCATGGAATTGAAAAAAATTACTGAAATTTACGTATAATGTGTCTTTTAGAGCACTTCATATTGCTCTGCTTGGAACATGACTACACTTATAACTAAATGAAGAATGAAAAAAACATGCTTTACATCTGTGGTTTTAATTAATTTGCAATATCCAGTTGCTTCATGACTTTGTTTTTTTTGGGGGAGGGGGGTGTTTACTTTTACAGGCTTATGAATTAGTTCTTTGGCATCTTAATCAATATTATTTTGTAGATAATTACGATATGGTTGCTTTCTTTATATTATGGTTGTGGCACAGCAAACTGTGATCTCGTATACATTTTATTCTGATTATTGCATACTTGCAGTGTATGTTGAATACTTTAGATTAAATAAGCAAATACTGTAACTATATGTATGTGCAAATCTATAATTTTCTCTCTCAATAATTCTAGTAAAATGGTATTTACATATTTTTTTTCAGGTTTTCCTCATTGTAATGTTTAGAGAAGCAAGCTATGCCATTTGTCTTTTGGTTTGAGAGCTAATTTGTGATTTTGAATGGAAAAGAAAAGATTAGATGACTATGAACCAGGTCCAGTTCCTTCACCAAGAGCATTGGATAGATTTGGGTTTGTAAAACCGGACGTTAATACTTCTGATGGCTTACTTAAGAGTAGATCAGCATCTGAGAATGAGAGGTATTTTGTTTTTCTCCTTTTGATTTATGTGTGCGTGCGTGCATGTTTTTTTTAAGCTTGAATGAGCATCAAATTATGTCCAGTGATTTTACCTTTACTATCATGTATCTTTCATCAGAATTAGGGAGGAGAGAAAAGTTAGAAAATGGAGAAAGATGATTGGGGTTGGTGGGAGTGATTGGAAGCATTATCTGAGGAGAAAACCTCATGTTGTTAAAAGACGCATAAGGAAAGGAATTCCTGATTGTTTAAGGGGCCTTGTTTGGCAGTTGATATCTGGAAGTCGAGACCTTTTACTGATGAATCCTGGAGTTTATGAGGTAATAAAGTTAATTTACTCAGCTGAAAAATCCTGATATATTTTGTAAAATATTCTATAAGCTATGATAGCCCTACACTCGCTAGTCGGGGTTTAACGGGGAGTGATTATTTCATAAGCTATGATCAGTGCTTGTCAAGAGTGTTGTCTTGTTACAGTTCTCCATTTAATATGAGTTGAAGAATGTTCTCCATTTTTATTTGCACATCTTTCTGTATTTCCATATTTTCCCTTGCCATCGAAACCTAACTTTTAAGCAAATCCTTGGCTGCATCAACATGGATGTGGAAAAGGATTTTTAGATTTTACATGTTTTTATTTAATATCATAGGAAGAGTGAATTTTTATGCAAATGGTTTATATTTTGCAAGCATAATTAAGTTTATGATGCTACTGGTGAAAGTATAAAATAAAGGAATTATAATGAATATTTATCTTTTATATAATGAGGCTATTCTTTTTCTTTTTGAAATTATATTAAATTTCATTGCACAACTGTGCCTGTGCCACCTTTGGGACTTTGCACTGACAAGACATTATGCTTATTGCAGCAACTAGTCATATATGAGACATCAGCCTCTGAACTAGATATAATTCGAGACATTTCTCGGACCTTTCCCTCACATGTATTCTTCCAACAGAGACATGGACCTGGCCAGCGGTCCCTCTACAATGTTCTAAAAGCTTACTCAGTCTTTGACAGAGATGTAGGATATGTTCAGGTTTTACTCAGGAACCCATCACTTTTTTCTGCTTGTTGCAAAGTAATTCATATTATTGATCATTTTAAAATTCCAGGGGATGGGGTTTTTAGCAGGTCTTTTGCTTCTTTATATGAGTGAGGAAGATGCATTTTGGTTGTTGGTGGCATTGCTGAAAGGAGCTGTTCATGCCCCAATGGAGGGCTTGTATCTGGTAACTATTTTTTTCCTTGAATTAATTTTTGCTGATTATTGATGGTATCGATGTATTATCCCTGCCTTTTTTGATATAATTCTATGAGGAAAGTACTGGATATGTATTAAATTGCATGCTTGTTGTTACTGTTATGTACTGTTTGATGAGAACAACTCTCTTTTCAGCATGATTAATGTTATTTTGAATGTAGGCAGGATTGCCTCTGGTACAGCAGTACCTCTCTCAGTTTGAATGCTTGGTGAGGGAGCATCTACCGAAGCTAGGGGAACATTTTTCCCAAGAAATGATAAATCCTAGCATGTATGCAAGCCAGTGGTTCATAACTGTATTTTCATATTCCTTTCCATTCCATTTGGCTCTTCGAATTTGGGATGTCTTTCTCTATGAGGTTAGCTGTGCTTTCCCTTAGCAGAACCATTTGTTGGTTAGAAACAAGATCTATGATGATGACATTCTTGTCCTTACAGGGTGTTAAAATTGTTTTTAAAGTTGGCTTGGCCTTATTAAAGTACTGTCATGATGACTTGGTAAGTATCACATGACCTTGTGACTTGTGTTTGTTATGACTCGAAGCAATTTTCTGCTCAATAGTTTCTGTTTTGCTTGTTTACCAGATTAAACTACCTTTTGAGAAACTGATACATGCCTTGAAAAACTTCCCTGATGACGCAATGAATCCAGATACATTATTACCGCTGGCTTATTCCATTAAGGTCCTCTTCCTTTCTCTGCATTTTTATTTTTTCACTTTAACTTGGGCTTTGAAAGGAATTATAGCAGGATACATTTAATTCCTTCACTTCTGAACTTCCACATGCATTTTATTTTTCGAACTCAATATTAATTTTAAAATTGAACATCACACTATCTGTTACTGTTAAATCTCTTAATTATTTATATGGTTGCTCAGGTGATGATAATCATAATATTGATACAAGCTCAAAAGTTGTCTTTTTCTAAATCATCAAACTATGTTGAATCTGTATGTAGAAAATTATCTGTGTCTCCATATAGTTTTTGAAACAATCCAAGCAAAAAAGGTTTTACCAGGTCAAACTTCTTGATCAGCAATTTTCTCTTTACCTAGTGTCAAATATTTTGGACTTGGGATTAAAATTTATTATCTTGAAGATGCAGTGAAAAAGACATAGTTTAAATGCCTTTTTTATTTGGAAGTTTCCCTGCCACAATAGTTGTATATTGATAAATTTCTGCTTCTTGGCTGACAGCATGATACATATTTTTTTGGCTTTCAATCATTTAAAAAAAAATGATGTTAGTGCCTTTTCACGATAGCAGTACATGTGAGGAATATGGACAAGAGGATTTGCAAGGATGACAAAGTCACACCGGAAGAGATCCTAACTATCCAGCTTGGGGTTTTGGTTCTTGATGGGCTTGCTGTGAGTAGGAAGGAGAAACCAAACAAACTATAAACCCCGGGATTAAAAGAAGGATAACAACTGGTGTCTAGGAGCAATATATTAGAAGTGATTTTGGAGACAGAAGGGATTGACGGAGCAAACAAACTATAGGACAAATTACAGTGAACCAACTACTCCCTCTCAGGAAAAGACCCTCCTCAGAGAGTTCCCCTTTACCCCCTTAATGCAATTACTTCTTCCATACCTCCCTCCCTCCACTCTCTCCCCCTATAACCAACTCATCATCACTATTTCCTTCCTCACCATTCAGAGCATGCCACTATTTTTTTTAGCCTCAGCCAAATACTGCAATGGCTCATCAGTCCTCAGCCAATGCTGGGTTATTGTGCTTCTTTTAATTATTAGGCTAATGCTTAGTTAGTTCTTTATCATGTGTTGATGGAATAATTAATAAATTGTTTCAGGTTTGTTTCCATATCCCTTTGTAATTCTGTTTCTCCTGAACCAACAATAATAATAACTAATTGGTTATAATTATAACACTACATGATGGACAGTAATGCATGATGTGATTAGACTATATAATACCCATTGCTCAGAAGATATAATATTTGTTCAAGTGGGATATAATTCTATGATTACACATCTACATTATTGTTCTTATCAGATATCCAAGCGTTTAGAGGAACTGCAACAAGAGTATGAGAAGAAGAATGGAAAGATCACTCGATCTGGAGAACTTTCTGAAAAGCAAATACTTCCAAGGGTTCAGAAAGGAGAAGCAGGAGAATAAGAAGCAGAAAGGTTAAGTTGGACCTTCAGAACTATTTGTAAAGCATAGGCCTCCCAACAAAGGTCTCTTTTGCCTGCTGGGAACTGAGCCAATGTGAAAATCATACCCTTAGATTCTATGTTGTGACCATATCTTGCATCTGTGTACAGTTTTATTAGTTACCATATGAAAGTTTGTTTCAATGATATCAAATTCCAAACTTTGTAATAAATTACTTATGAATGTCCATTAGCAAAAATTGAACCAAACACCTTTTTGCTAAGGAGCTGTATATGATCATACCAGTTGATTGAGTCATTTCTCGTTGGTTACTTAACATAATTAATTAATGACTTAACACTATTTAATATCTTAAAAAACGGTCACTTACTGTCACTTTTTAGTTAAGGGGGGAATCTATTTTTTTTTTCTTTGCTGGCAACTTTGATTTAGGGGTATTTTAATAATATGATATTTAAAAAAGAAACAAAACCAGTGAACAGAATAAATTGTTTAAATAAGATTTCCCACTCTTCACCTCTCTCCCAACCAGTGGCGGATCCAGAATTTAATTTTAGCCGTGGTCAAAAAATTTGATATTTCAAATTATCAAAAAAATTTCATAAATACACAAATCTATTAGGAAAAAATTTACTTAGATGTTATTTTAATAAATAATAGTTATTTATTTAAAATTTAGAATATAACATAAAATAAAATTAGTAAAGAAAGTGTAAATTATATATATATATATATATATATATATATATATATATATATATATATATATATATATATGAAATTTTCATGTGATTTTTATGCATGTGATGTTAATGAAAGCTTATTTCATGTGATGTTAATGAAAATTGATTTAATGTGGTATTTGTGAATAATTTTTTTTTTTTTTTTTTAATTTGATTTGGGCCTACAAACTTTAGTTTGCAACTTGGTAAGCTTTACAACTCGTATTCGGTTTTTTTAGTTTTTTTATAATATGGCAGGCCATAAATCAAGTATTTAATAAGCTAATAGGTCAGTATATGTTCTAAATATTTTACATAGGCTTAGGCTATCAAAGCCAAAGATCGGCTTAACTTGACCTATTTATACCTCTAGCCGTGACTTGTGAAGAATATTAACATAGAGGGACAACAAACTTCACAATTAAAAAGAAACATGGAATAATCAGCTACAAATATCTAAAATCATTTAAATGACATTGGATTCACATAAATCATTTAATCAATGTTTAGATATTTTAAAAAATTTAAAAATACAAAAAAAGAAGAAGTTGTTAATGGATATGTATAAGAAATTTTCATACTCCATATATATACATATGTCTTCATTGATTTTTCTCTTTAACAATTTCCACTAATTAATAACCAAAATTCACATTCTTGTTGTGAAATAAAATACAAATAACACCAATAAACAATTCAATTCCATTACCAATAGCAACTGTAGCTCTACATTAAAATAATTTTTTTTTTAAAAAAGGTAAACGTAAAACAGCACTCCATTTTTTCAAAAGAAATAAAATCAAAAATTACAACCACAAAAAAAAAAAAAGTTGTTAATAAAATAAAGGGACATGAATTTCACTCATGTTAGAAACATCCACTAAACAATTATGGTCAGCAAAGACAAAGAATTTCACTTTTATAAGGTTCAAAAATATAAATCATTTTTTTTCGTCAACGGACAATATAATTACCAATGCATATTCCAAGAATAAGTATCCGTAAAATCTTGAAGAAAAGAATGAAACATCGTGCCTTGTCGCAGAATGGCTGGGTTCCGGGTGCTGAGTGCGAATAAGAAAAAAAGGTTAGAAGAAAACCTCAATTGGAAAAAGATGAAAGAAGAAGAAGAGATTAAGAAGAAAGAAATATGGTATCTAGTCATACACGAAAAGCAGCTCCATATCTTCATCTGTTACCACTGTTACAATTTTAGGTAGGGTCAACTTTCAATTTTAGCTTGGGCCCAATTATAATTACTTATATAATTATATACACGGAGAAAAGTTCTCACATTTGGGAATTAAGTTTTTGACTATTCTTTGTGTGCAATAACCCAAAACACAATAGTTCAATGAACCTTCATATTCCACAATTATAGTCCCGTTATTCATTTGGTTTCATGGTTGTTACTTTCAAGGGTTAAGTGTTTGTTCTTTTAAAAGACAAAAATTGTGTTCTTTTAGTTTTTAACACTATGTCTTACCGGTAAGACATAGTTATAACATGAAAAATAGTTTTTTTTCTCTCTTCACATCAGCTGAAGTGACTGAGGAAATAGAAAAAGAAAAGTAATTTTTCATATTATAACTATGTTTTACAGGTAAGATATATTGTCAAAAAATAAAATGATACAACCTTGTGTCCTTTAAAATGACAAACCTTTTTTCCTATTTTTAAATATGTTTATTTGGTTTAATTGGACCCATATTTTGGAATAAGTCAATTAATCATTTTTGTGATTAAGTTTAGAAGTCTTTCTTTTTTAATATAATAGGAGTAAGAATAAATAACATAACTGATTAGAATAAAACAGAAAAAAATATACAGGATAAAAAATAAAAAAAGGTAAAACACAAAAATAACCATATTATACATGTTCCTTATTATTTGTTTGCATTTAGATGGTTTGTTGTTACTTTGTATTGAGTATTTGATTTTCTATTTAAGTAATACCAAATTATAATTTTTACCTTAGTTAATTATAATTAATTATATAATAAGTAAAAAAAAAAACAAGCAGGTGCCTGCTGACTTGGATGTGGCTACGCCACTGCTCCCAAGTGTTTATCTTACTCTCATAATCTATGATTGTAATCCTTTATAAATCCAATTATACTACTATTTAAGCACTATTCTTTGCACAGCATTTTAAAACCAGTGAACACATGTCAATAATTAGTGAACAAAATAATAATCTCGTATAGTCTTTCGTTAACAAAATCAAATAAATACAATATTTTCTTCATTGATTTTGTTGATGGCCAAGGAGTCCGTACTAAATTACGCAAACATAACTATTATTGGTTTAGCCGAAAAAAATAAAAATAAAAAATAAAAAACTCAAAAAAATGTTGGGTCGTTTCAAAGCTTTGTTAGCTCTATTATGTATCACCCTCGCGTGTTATTCCTTTGGATTTCATTGCATGCATATAGTCTTGTACTCAATGTCTAACTTTGGCATTTTCTTCTCATTATGTAATGCTTGTACGGGGTTAGTGCTTCTTCCGATTTCCGAATGGTTTCTAGCTTAAATTTATATATTCAAATAAAATGAAAAAGAAGACAATCCTTTTTTTTTCCCATTTTATATCCATTGGACCTGAATATGACATGCACCATTTGTTATTTTTATTAAGATTGTAAAGAATTATTTCAATCCAAAATCTAAGGTATTGAGAAAGGCCATTTTTAATTGTTTATATTATTATCTAACATATCCTCTCATGCAAGAGCCATTTGAATTTGAAACGTAAATATTATATAGGCCCAAATTTTGGTTTACCTTTTATTTGTCAGCACGGGTTTAGCTTACGATGTATTTGGAAGCCCCTGCCCAAACGAGTATTTTACAGAAAGCCGACAAGGAATTCCATTAATAACTGGCGTTTTGATCCTTTGGAACAACTTGATAATTTTAATAGATCTTTTTAGGAGGCTCCAATGACCACAGATAGGACCTATCCCATTTTTATAGTACGTTGGTTGGCTGTTCACGGACTATGCTTATTTTAATTCCACTAGAAAGTGGATGTGATAAGGATCGAGCTCTTGACATGTGGTCACTGAAGCTCTAATATCATGTAAAGAACAAATTTAACCCAAAACTTTAAGTTGTTGGTAGTTGAGGCGGTAAGGATCGAACTCGTGACCCTGTGGACATTGAAGCTCTGATACCATGTAAATAACAAATTCAACCAAAAACCTTAAAATGTTGGGTAAAGATTTTTTAATGATTTATATTATTCTCTAATAAAGATGTTTGTGAATTTATCTTTGTATGTTGCAGGGATAGTAGGTCGTTACTGACATGTCAACAGTGTTTTTGAAAGTATAGATGCTTCTTATTAAAGCAACAATATTTCTTAGTAGCTCGAGGCATAGATTTCTCGAGATGATAAAGGTTTAAATTAATAATGGATGAATGCCATCACGCTAGGGGTAATCTGTTTGCCTCATCACCATAAGTGTTGTTGGGCTTCCTCCTTCAATGCCTCGAGCTAGATCTCACCTCCTCTATATATTCATTAGTTGTGGGTGGAGGCTAGGTCAAAGATTAAGAGAGAGATTAGAAATTCGAGAGAAAATTGTTTGAGCAAAACTTTATGCTTTGTATTTGAGAGATCTCTAGAGAGAGTTTGAGTGAAACATCTCTACGGAGGTTTGATTATCACCATTGTTGGAGAGGTTGAGTTAACCACCATATTGGTGATTCTGATTATTTGTAACCATTATTTTCATAGTGGATTTGTGATCTGGACTAGGTCCCGTGGGTTTTTACTTCTTCATTGGAGAAGGTTTTCCCACGTTAAAAACTGCTTGTATTCTCTCTCTCTCCTTCTCTTTCTCTCTCTCTCTCTCTCCCATTTTTTGTTTTGATTTTTCGCTACGCTGCCCGACCTGGTGAAGTTCAGGCTGAGGTATTGCCGAGATCCAAGATCCAGGATCTCATTGACTGACTTCCGCAAAGGCCCCTGAGCCGATCTGAGGGAACCGAGTTCCCAACAGTGGTATCAGAGCCCGAGTTCGACGGGTTTAGAGGGAGACAAGATGGAGACCAGTGGCATAACTCATGATGGAGATATGTTCAAGCTGACCGCAGACAATTTCACCTATTGGAGACCGATGATGGAAGATTATCTCTACTGCAAAGATTTACATGAGCCCATTATTTGTGATGGGAGACCGGAAGGCAAAACCGATAAGGAGTGGGAGATTCAGAGTCGTAAGGCGGTAGCTACGATCAGAAAATATATTGACAAAAGCCTCTTTGAGCACGTGTCCGAGTTCACAAACGTGTACGAGTTATGGACGAAGTTGGAGTCCATGATGCAGAAGAAGACTCCCAAGAACAAAGCACACCTGGTTCGTCGACTTGTGAAGCTTGAATACAAGGACGACATGAGTATGATTGAACACCTCAAAACCTACAAAGGTATTGTGAATCAGCTATCAAATGCTGAGATGAAAATTGATGACGAGATGCAGGCCTTGCTGCTGTTGAGCTCGCTGCCAGAAAGCTAGGATACTCTGGTGGTG